CAACTACACTTTGGGATGGTTCATTTGGGGACATTTATCAACCCTCGCCCTGGACGGAGAGGTTTCCCACGACGCGTGGCTTTGGGCACGCTGGGATGGTTGATAACTCTCACCTTCTGTTTGTTAAGAATGTACATAATCTGCTGACCTCTCACGTACTGTTTATGAGTTGTGTGGGGTTTTTTTTTGTTTGTCTTTGTTTTCTGTTTTATAAGAGTAACGTTCCTGAGACAGAGAGAATGCAGACCTCCACATGCTGAACGACATGCTGGTAATATTTGTTTCCTGGCTGAATTTCACTCCCATCCCCCTCTGGAAACACCGTGGTCTAAGCGGCTAATCCACGAACTGAGACGTGGAGACGGGAGCCCCAGGTCAGGGGAGGGTGGCCTTTGTGCTTTCAGTCTCAGGGCGGCTGCACTAGGGTTTCCTCTGCCTGCAATCCTCATACCCCACTCTTTTTATTTCTTTGAATGATCGGATTTACTTATTTCCCCATGGCCTCTCCCACTGGAACATGAGCCCCCAGAGGCAGGGGCAGCGCCTGTATCCAGACTGGTCTTGGTAGTGTCTTTAGCACTTACTGCCTGGCCCAGAGGAGGTCCTCAAATATTTTATTTTTTTGTTTGTTTTACATGCTGCAAGAATAAATAAGCTGGAGGTTATCCGGGTCCATTCCCCACCGCAGAGGAATTTCCTCCCTGTAGCCCAGGTGAGAATCACCTTGTTAACACCTCTGAGATGGAGAGCACCCTGCCTCACAGAGCAGCCTGTCCCATTCCATCTTTTGTTCAGTTTCAATGTGATGTGAAGAACCGTCTCTCCATAATTGTTAATGATTGCTCTTGAGGGCTTCATTAACTTGACTGCCCCCTGGAAGGAAAGTTCTAGGTCACCAATATCCCGCCTCCTGGGACGAGGCCCCAGGCAAGTCTCTAGCCCTTTCTGGACCTTTGTGCCTTTGTGCAAACTGGAGCAGCTTATTTCAGTACACTGAGGACAGCCATCAATCCTAAGGGATTCTGAACATTTGTCAAAGCTGAGAAAGAATTCATCTTCTTGTTTCATGTATGATGCTGGAAAATGCTGAAGAAGGGACATCTAACCTGACTCCTGTGCTCACTTTGGTGTGTCTGGATTGGGGTGCTGTCTCTCTGATCCCCTGTTGAGAGACATCGTAAAGACCTCCAATCCTGGACTAGAAATGTGATGGGCAGCTGATTCACAGATTAGAATCGTCCAGGGCAGTGGCTCCACTTTAGGAAGCTGCATGTCCTTCCTGCTCCAGGTGGGCGCATCAGGTCCTGCCTCTGGCTGTGGGGACAGGAGCCTGGTGGCCCTGGGGGCAGGGGCAGCCCTGGGAATGGGGGGTGTGGTCTCTCCTCCTGGCCTGTGCGGCCCTGCAGAGAGGGTCCTGTTCTGCAGAAGCATGCACTCAGGTGTGGCTTTAATCAAAAACACAAACAAAGGACTTCCCTGGTGGCGCAGTGGTTAAGAATCTGCCTGCCAATGCAGGGGACACGGGTTCAAGCCCTGGTCCGGGAAGATCCCACATGCCACGGAGCAACTAAGCCCGTGCGCCACAGCTGCTGAGCCTGCGCTCTACAGTCCGTGAGCCACAACTGCTGAGCCTGTGAGCCACCACTACTGAAGCCCACGCGCCTAGAGCCCGTGCTCCACAACAAGGGAAGCCACTGCAGTGAGAAGTCTGCACACCGCGATGTAGAGTAGCCCCTGCTCGCCGCAACTAGGGAAAGCCCACGCGCAGCAACGAAGACCCAATGCAGCCAAAAATAAATAAATTAAATAAATAAATTTATTAAAAAGAAACCCCACAAACAAGATGACGCCTCGAAGTTCAGCCCCATGGTGGCTGTTTTGTCTTGGAATCGGCAGGAGTTGTCGTGCCTGGTGCTGCTTTGTCTTTGCGGCTTAAATGACAGTGAAAGCAGCTCAGCTCTAGGCAAAAGCAACAAACAAACAAAAACAAAAACAAAAAACAACACCTCCTGGACACTAAGAAATTATGTTTTACCCCAAGTCCTTAACAAGGATGGAGAAAATCTCAGAATGAAATCCAGAGCTTCCTGAGATACCCCCTCTCCCCTCAGTACCTATGGGCACAGCCTCAGCCTCGTCATTTTACTTCATCCAGTGAACCAGCCTCTACTTTGCAAAGGAATCTGAGGGAAAGTCTTCTGCCAAGTCCCAACTGAGTCCTTGTGACACTCAAGAACCTGGGCCAGGTTCTTGTGTAGGTTAAGGAAGCCCGAGAATAATAAAGATTATAGGGAAACAGTCTACCTTTCTTTACAAGGTCTTGTTTTGCATCTCTGAAATCTCAGATTCAGCTATTACAATGAGGTCCTGTTGTAGAAAGAGCTGGCCTTTTATCACCACTTAAAATCTAATTAATCCATATTGAAGCACAAAGATTTCTGTTGTATTTTAGGGTGAGGGGTCATAGAGCGCTCTTTGTTCATCCTTAGACTTATATAATCATCAAGCATTGGGGATATAATTTTACCAAGCAAATTGGAAGGTAACAGATCAAATCCTTATCAGAAAGCCTAACTCATAGTTTTAACAGAGTCCTTCGTCCTTTACATGAAACATTATATTCAAGAAGAACAAAAACGCATTTCAGAGTGCCCAAAGAGTTAAGGACCAAAACTTATATTCCCCAGGCAGCATCAAACCAAGATCGTCACACTACTGTCCACCACAAGACAGCAGCTCCTATAGAGGGGGCAAGGGTCCCAAGATTTGTTGCGATGGCTTTAGTCTTTAGAGCAGCAGTGCAATTCGTTGGAATTTTGCTCTCTCTGCTGGGATGGGTTTTATCCATTATTACAACTTTTTTGCCACATTGGAAAAACCTCAACCTGGACTTAAATGAAATGGAAAACTGGACCGTGGGACTCTGGCAGACCTGTGTCACCCAAGAGGAAGTGGGGATGCAATGCAAGGACTTTGATTCTTTCCTGGCTTTGCCCGCTGAGCTCAGGATCTCCAGGATTTTAATGTTCCTCTCAAACGGCCTGGGATTCCTGGGCCTGCTGGTCTCGGGGTTTGGCCTGGACTGCTTGAGAATTGGAGAGAGACAGCAGGATGTCAAGAAGCAGCTGTTAATCCTGGGAGGAATTCTGTTCTGGACAGCAGGTGTCACAGCCCTTGTTCCTGTCTCTTGGGTCGCCCACAGGACAGTCCAGGAGTTCTGGGATGAGACCATCCCCGAGATTGTGCCCAGGTGGGAGTTTGGGGAGGCCCTCTTTATCGGCTGGTTTGCTGGATTTTCTCTCCTGCTCGGAGGGTGTCTGCTAAACTGGGCCGCCTGCGGGACCCAGATTCCCCTGGCTTCCGGCCACTATGCAGTGGCAGAAATGCAAACTCAGTGTTCATACCTGGAAAATGGAACTGCCAATCCTTCAGTGTAAGACTTTGATGAGACCAGAGAGGTGTATCTCCCTATATCAACTGTGACGGTCTACATGATAAAGGATTCTTTGTTATGTAACTATATTTGTGATGTTCACATTTTCTCATTAAATACATTAAGTCATGACTCTTCTATTCTAGATACCCCACCCCCCCAAAACCTGGAGAAGTAAGAGGCAAATCTTATATGTAAAAGAAAACGATTGTGGTAAGCGTTACATAGGAATGAACAAAACAAAATTCCATTCATCTGGGTATTTCAATCAAAATTAGGTGGCGGTTGTCCAAGAGAGCACTAATTAGCTTTACTGTGTGCATTTGATATTAGAAATGTTTTTTCGGTTTTGTTGGTAGCTGAAATTGATAATTAGTTCCTGTTTCCTAAAGAAAAAAACCTAACAATCTGAAATCCTTTAAGCATTCTGCACTAGCAAAACCACATGCTAAGCCTATCCAAAGTGCTATTTCCACAACAATGATTTGGTCTTTCTTGAACAGAGGTGGTTTGTGTTTAGGAAATTGCTAGGAAGCCTGTGCGGCAGGACTTTGAGGCTGAAGGTTTTCAGGACATTGTGATACTCTCAGATTTAAAATACTGGCCAATCACTTCTCGTCTCTTCCCTCAAAAGTGTCGTACTTTAAAAAGATAAACAATTCCAAAAATATTTTGCTTAATATCCAGCTCATCTGCCCTAATAAAAATTTTCCTTTGTTCAGTTAAAAAAGTTACACGCATGGGGATGAACCAACAGAGGCGTTGATTCTAACCTACGCAGAGTCCTACTGCTTAATTTTTCCATGGCATAGAAAGCATATTTAAGCAAAGAAACAAAAAATAGCAAGCATTTATGTCCCTGTGTGTGAAGCTGTCAGGAAGGCGTGGAAGTAAACAGACTTGATATTTAGTTCAGAATCGTTTCATATGTTATTGGGTATATGTAGCCTAAGAGATTTAAAAAAAAAAAAAAGAAAAGCCTGATTTAAGGTCTACAGAAGAGATTTCTGAGATTGATTTATTTGGTTAAGAAAAACTTTTCTTGAACTGTTTTTAAAATTGATAACACTCAGTTATAACCACAGTATGCATATTGAAATGAGACCTCTTAACAGATGAAAATCTGATAGGTGCAACTAGTAAGATATGAAGTAGCAGGAGTTGAACCAAACTGTCAATTAAACATCTTGCACGGAGACTTCTTAATTCTTTGACTTGACAGAAAGTTTGGGAACAACGTGAAAGCCATTTATACTTTAACAATGAGAGGATTATTACTACTTAATGTTATTTCGGGGACAAACTGCCTACTACAAAATGCAGCCCAAGGACGTGAACGTGATCTTGGCCACACCTTGTCATTACTGGTTTG